CGCGTGCGCTCGCCAGACAGACAGAGAGAGACAGAGAGACAAAAGCGAGAAATCACCCCCCAGGGGGGATGGTCACACCGCAATCCCTTCTCCTCCATTCTCCTCTCGGGATCTTGGGCACGCACGCACACGCGCCCGGCGTGAGTTTTAAGCCACCGGGTCCGGGACGCGAACCGTTGTCAACTACGTGGGAGTCCAGTGACACGGCCATTACGCTAACTGCTGGTTCCCTCTTTCTTTCTTTCTAATTGCCAGAGAGTGCATGAACTCACCAGAGAGACAGAGGGAAAGCGCCCTCAGTAGGGTATGGCCATGCCACAGTCACCTACACTTGTCCGTCCTGTTGGGATTCTGTGGTCAAATGAGCACATTTTTCAAGCCACCAGCTACCCGAAATGTCATGTATTTGTACCCATGTGCACTGTGGGAGAATAGGGATCGGACCTACATCTTTCATCAGATTCTCAAAGGAGTCCATGTGCCTGAAAGGGTTAGGAACCATTAGTCTGGGTTGGCTCCCTTCATTCTGTAGAGAAGCTCCTAACTCAGACAGGGAGATTGGCTTGTCTGAGGTCCTGCAGCAAATCCGTGGCAGGGTGGGGCTGCACTCCCGGTCCCCCAACTCCTCTCTCGGCTTCTGTGGCTCCCCCCTCTCGGCTTCGGGGCCTGTGGGGTGGGCCAAATGGAGACGGGAACCCACCCCCTCCCACCATACCCACCCAGTCTTCAGCGGGTCCTGCTGCGGGCCATCTGGTGGGCAGTCTTACCTGTGTGGGAAGCCCTGCCCGGGGCTGGGAGGTCAGAAGAGCTCCCTGGGTTTGCTGAGGTAGCTGGAATAGATTTGGCGTCGGTAGCAGGCCTGGGGAGACAAGGGGGAACAGGCGGGGTGAAGAGGAGGCTAGGGAAATTCTGCGGAGGCAGCCGGGAGGCCATCACTGTTACGTTCACCGATAACATCATCCAGAAGCCCGGACCACGTGTATTTGGGAATTCAAAAGTTTTTCAGACAGGGAGCCTTACCTGGCTGACTCTGCTGGGCCTGCGGCAGCAGGAACTGGGCAGGTGGCTGGAGGTGGTGGCCCGGCACCAACACCAGCTGCTGGAGCTGGAGGAGCTGCTGTATGTCCTGGCAGGGGAAGACAGAAAGACAGCCTGAGTCCTGGCCAGCTTCCTCCCTTTGCATCCGTTGAGCCCCAAGGGGCTGCAGCAGGAAACCACTGCACAGGGCAATCGGGCACTGGGTCTCTGGACAGCATCTTAGAGCCAAAGGTACCCAGAGGCTTCTCTCGACCATGGGGTACCAGACGGTTCCGTCCGGGTCATCTGGGAGGGCTTGCTCTTTATTTACCTTTACTTGCTTGATGAAATATTTGCCTTGTCTTGCATTTACACAGAACAAATAGAATCATCTAAAAATGTAAAACCAGTCCGTCTTTTCTCCTTTTAAAACACTCCCAAGGCAAATGATACGTCTGAAATCAGCTTCCAAATTCTTCAGCACAGAGTAGGTATGTGAATGGGCACAGTGACTTCCAGAAACTCTTCGGCACTGTTATGGGTTCAGCTGCCCCCGCCCCTACAGATACGCTGGAATCCTAACCCCCAGGAGCTGACTGGCGCTTTCCTTGAAGATAGGGCCTTTGCAGGTGATCAAGTTAAAATGAGGTCACTCGGGTGGGCTCCAGCAGTTGTCCTTATGAAAAAGGGAAATTAAGACACAGAGACAGACGTGGAGCAAAGGAAGACAAGGCAAAAAGACAGCCATCTGTAAGCCAAGGAGAGAGGCCTGGGACACGTTTTCCCCTCCTCACAGCATGCAAAGGGACCAGCTCTGCTGACACCTTGACCTCAAGCCTCCGGAACAGTGAGACAATACATTTCTGTTCCTTCCTTCACCCGGTTTGCAGTTCTTAGTTATGACCCCTCTAGTCAACTAATACAGGCACTACCTACTAATACACCTAACTTGTGACCCACCGTAAATGCGTGCACCTGCCCACCACAAGACTGTACTAGAATGTTCACACCAACCATTTGAAATAGCCTGAAGAGGGCCCAAGTGCCCACCAACAGTAGACTGGGTAAATAAACTGGGATTCAGTGGAATGCTATGTATAGTTTTTTTTTAAATTATTTTATTTAACTTTATTTTACTTATTATATTTATTTATTTTAACCTGACTAGACAGGGAGGGAGGGAGGGACGGAGAGAGAGATGGAAAGTGAGAAAGCAAGCTGCCAGATCTGGGACTCGAACCACAGCCAACCATGTGGGAATCCAGTGCCCTTAACCACCATGCCACCTGCTGGCCCCGACGTATAGTTTTTATTTAACTTTTTCTCTCTGGAGTTGGACGCATCTGCAGATGTAGAAACCTGTGATACGAGGGGGCCGACTACGGGGTTGTCTGGGAAAATCATGACACATTTTCGTGTGGAAAAATATGCATGACTTTCTCGCCAACCTAATAAAAACTTCCCACATGTAATGAGTGAAGGAAGCGAGTCGACATCCGGCACGATTCTTTTTGTTCCCCCTTCCTTTTTGGCCACAGAGTGTATGCACTGGCCCCAGAGAGAGACAGAGAGTGACAGAGAGGGGGGAGAAGTGAGAAATCACCCCCTAGGGAGATGGCCACGTTGCAGTCCCTTCTCCTCCTGTTCTCTTCTCAGGATTGGGGACACGTATGCGCATGTGCCCAGTGTGACTTTCAAGCCACTGGGCCCAGGACTCAACCACAGAGTCAGCCAAGTGGGGTCCAGCACTTTCACTACCACACCACCACTGGGGCCGGGCATGATCCTATTCATGTTCCATTTGCATATTAGAAGTCGGGAGGCTCCTGGGCACCAGTTACGTGAGTGTGCTCAGCTTGTGAGTGTCCGTTGTGCTGTGTACCTTACGATTTGTGCACTTTTCTGTATTTGTTGTACCTCAATACAAATATTTTTTTAAAAAGGAGATGGGGGGAGCACGGCCGGCAAGTGGTGCGGTTTTTTTTTTCTCTCTCTGTTTCTCTCGGGACAGATTAATAATAATAATAATAATAATAATAATAATAATAATAATAAATGAAATTAAATAAATAAATTTTTTTTTAAAGGAAAATGAGGCAGAAGAAAAAACAAAATCAACATCCCACCACCACCACCACCACCACCGAAAAAGTAAGGAATATAAAAAGATAGGTGAAACGCTATCTGTCAGTAGAACTGGCAAAGCATTGCTCTCCGCTGAGCTGGGTGATAGATACCTGGGGTCCGTTATAGCATTCTCTCTACCTTTATGTTCGAACATTGCCAAATGAAAAAATAAAACCCCCTTATATTCCAATGGCTTCTTATAGCTCTTAACAATACAACCGAAACTCATCTGGCCAGTCAGGCCTTTTGTACTGAGGCCTGTGCTAACCTCCTCACCAGCCACAACTCGTGGGGCCCTCTCCCTCCTGGCTGTGTTCTTCTGTCTGTCAGGTGCACCAAGCTCTCTCCTGCCTCAGGGTCTTCACGTAGTGCTGTTTGTCTATCTCTAGGGAAGTTCTAGTTCTCCTTTTCTTTCTTTTTCTTTTTAAATAATTTCTTTTTTAAAAAAAGAATTCTCTTATTTAACTTTATTTACTCATTTTAATTTGACCAGAGAGGGACAGAGTAAGAGAGAGAGAGAGAAAGTGAGAAAGCAAGCCGCCAGGTCTGACACTTGAACCGCTGCTGGCCACGTGGGAGTCCAGTGCCCTTAACCACCACGCCACCTGCTGGTCCCAAAGGAAGCTCTAGTTCTTGTACTCGTGCCTGAGTTCTTCTCGTAACTCAGGTCCTAACACAAAGTGACCTCTTCAGAAGGTCCTCGTGGGGCCAGGTGACGGTACAGTGGTGGTGTAACCGGACCCCCATGGGAAAGGTCCTGAGTTCATATCCTGGGGCCTCTCTGAGCACACTGGGGACACACAAGCGCCCATGATCCAGGCTGAGACCAGGAGAGGACAGCAGCCTGAAGACCCGGTGGAGGATGCTTTTTTGTCTCTCTCATGAAATAAATCCAATAAAACAGAAAGGTTCCCTTTAACCACCTAATCTAAACCAGCCCACCCCCACACCTCCCTTTAACACCCCCATTTCATCTCCTTCATAAGATTTATCACTAGGGAACAGCAGCTAGCATAATGGCTATGTGACTGGACTCCCATGTAGTCGACCACAGTTCAAGTCCCAGATCTGGTGGCTTAAACTCACGCTGGACATGTGTGCGTGCGTGCCCAAGATCCCGAGAGGAGAATGGAGAAGGGATCGCAGCATGGCCATCTCCCCTGGGGGATGATTTCTTACTTTCTGTTTCTCTGTCTCTCTCTGAAGAGCGCCTGTGCCCTATAGCAAAAACCTCTAAAAAAAAAAGAGCAATTACAAATTCAAACTCGTAAGATGACAAACTGATGGCCCAGTGGTAACATGGCCAAAGGACCGCGGCAATACTAATGATGTGAAATGAAAATACATTCAGATTCGGGGCCAGCAGGTGGCATGCTGGTTAAAGGGGCTGGATTTCCACATGACTGATCATGGTTTGAGTCCTGGACCTTGCAGCTTTCTTTCTCACTTTCCCTTTCTCTGTGTCTGTTTCTGTCTGGTCAAATTAATAATAATAATAATAACAACAAGTGGGATTAAATAAATAAATAATTCTTTAAAAAAAGAAAATACATTCAGATTCACTCACAATAAGATAAACACAACTACGACGGCACTGAGGAGCTATTTTTACCGCTCATATCAGCAAAGATAAAAACCATGCCTGACATGCCACGTCGGACAGTGAGGGAGAAGACACTTGTGCATGGCTGGTCAGAGGGCGACTGGCCATGTCTCTCTATCAAAGCACACGCCCTTTGACTCCGCCCCTCCGCTGCTAGGAATTTGTCTTAAGGACATACTCTCACTTGTGCAAAATGACCTCTATAGACGCAAGTGGTGTTCCAGCCAAAGAGCAGAGCTGGCTGAGCACGTGAAAGCAGCCGGGAACAGGCCGGCCGACTTAGGTGGGGCTTCCCAGAGGAATGCCATGCCGTCACCAGAGCATGACACTGCGCGTCCTGATGTGGGGCAATACCCTGTTACTGGAAAGCTCGAGAGGCAGAACGGTGGGTGCGATACGCTGTTTATGTTAAAACCAAAAGAAAATAGCACATCTAGGTCTTTACTTAGGTACACCTGGACTGTGTCTGAAAACCTATACCCGGAACAGGCCATGCCGTAAATCCATCTGTACCTCTTGAATGTGGAACACGAATGAATGAATGAATGAATGAATGAATGAATGAATACTAGCCAGTCAAACACTCATTGCTGCCCCAAATCCCTGCTGTTCTTTTCTTTTTTTTTTGTTTTAATTTGCCAGAGGGCGCGTGCATTTGCTGGAACAGAAAGAGAGAAAGCGAGAAAGCATCTCTCCACGGAACACAGTAAGGCAACAACCCCTTCTCCTCCATTTTCCTTCCTTTCAGGATTTTGGGCATGCGTGCACATGCACCAGGTGTATTTTTCAACCACCAGGTCTGGGACTCTAGCCATGTGGTCAGCAACGGGGGACTTAGCAGCCTTAACTACTGAGCCAAGGCCCGTCCAGTTCCTCCTATTCAAAGCTTTCCTCTTTCCACAGTCTGAGGCTGTTCCCTGTCCCCTGGGAAGGCCTCCACTTTCTTCATGTCCAGCAGTGAACAGAATGCACCCTGACCTTACGCCTTTCTCATTCTAGCTGCCAATTATCTCGGAATCCAACCGAAGGGTTTTGCTTTGGGCCAGAACCGCCATCTTCCAGTAAGTCACCAAAATGATGAACA